CAGGTTTGCCAACGTGTTCCGCAAACCACGTTTGTCGGCTTCCTGCCCTAGTTCTATCAGCCTAGGGTAGCACAACAATGTTGTATACCTTTCGTCCCCATTTTGCCATTTTGAAGGTAGTCCAAAGAAGTGAATGGCTGTTTTTGCTTGCATTGCATGAATTTCTTATGAGCACGTCATCTCATGTCGGGACGTTTCTCTTTCAAACTAAGAGGAGCTGGGTTGCAAGCTGGTGGCTGGAGTCCCTCAGCCTAAATACGACCCACGACACTATTCCTCAGATACGGCTGGATCGCGTTTTGTCTAGCGGTCAGCGAAACCAATTTGTGTTTGGCTCCCTTTGTATGTGATAATCGCGATAACATATGAATACAACAGTGCATAGAAAAGGGGGCAATGCACGCGTGATTCCTGTATGCATATGTGTATGCGTAGTTTTATGTTACCACGTGAAGCACTACTGTAAATATACTTTTGCTTGTATTAGAATGTTGGATATCACCGTGGGCTTTTCCTAAGTGCCGCATGACAGTCAACGCAATCAGTGTCATGCGTCAATGCGCTTTTCCTAATAGCTGCCTGATAATCCACGCAAAATCAATGTAATTGTCCATCCAAACAACAAGGTGACACGGTACGTGTGGCATTGACTATGAACATAACATCCGCGCAAGATAGCGGGTAGTTTTTTATCAGAGTGTGGAGCAGCGGGGTAAGTTCAGACAGGCAAGAAATGGAGGATAACGCGGGGGGGGCGTACGCATATATGGTAGATAGATCAAAATTGTAAAATAAAAATTTATAGACAAAGAGGTGATGAGATGAAATAGATCAAGCCTAAAAATGGTAGGATATTAATGCGACGCTGTAGTTAAAGTTTGGCCGTTGCACTGGATTTTGGCTTTCTTCACGGCGTACCGTGTGGGCAGCGGAGCAAGACAGCTCTGCGCCAAGCATTGTATTTGACCCGGGCCCGCGCGGTCATACGCAGACAGTTCCACCCAGTGTTTGAAAAGCGTCGTGGAGGGGGTAGCTGGAGACCACCAAAGGCGTACATTTTCTGTGGGTGAAGAAGTTTCGAAAAAGTGCCAAGAAGCACCGGGACACGCACACAGCAGATACGAACAGTGCCGAAGTGAAGTGGTAAACACGCTTGCGTTATCGCCGTGCGTCCGGGAAACCAGCGGTGCGGGGTTCGATTCCCCGCGGTGCCCGCCCTTCCTGCCAGGGGGAAAGCCAGGCGCCACGACATCGCCTCAGCGGCTGAGTGCGTCGTAAAGCCCCAATAACGATGTCATGTCCGGCCATCCACAGGCCCCTCCACTCAAAGGTTGCAGTGTGGACTAGGGCTGGTAAAAGAGCATCTGCTGGTGCCGCCCGAATCTTTACGGGCAACGTCGTCTCTAGCAGTGTCACTCAGAACCATTTGACAATGAAGTACATGCCCAGAAGCGCAACAAGCTCTCGCCTCGATTGGCAATCACTGAAAGCCTCTCTCATCAGAGTCTTCATCATCAAAGTCTCCAGAAGAGCACGGCTGTGAACTCACCGAGTAATCTTCAGGGTGGCTATTTCAGCTCAATGCCCCATACAATGTAAAATACTCCCTGTACGCTCCACCTTCGGCTGGATTTCCCTCCCTCGGGCGCGAAAAAAATGCGTGGAACCTCGACAGCAGGGGCCGATGAACACATGCCAGAGTTTGAACCGGTGGCAGCTGGCACTCGGGGATAAAATCCAATATTAGGATTGCATCGAGGCCGTGTCCCAGACGAAAACCCTGTGCAACCAGCATGCTCTACACCATATCTTGGGCAGGCCTCAGAACCAGCGCGACACATTAGGGCCATACAGAGCCTGCGTGGCCTAGAAAACGCCTTTCGCCGCACCCCAGTAGTCGACATACATCTGGCTTAACTGGTTTTCTGCGCTGCCTGAAAAAGAGGAATAAGTTGGGTTTCGGGTTGGGCTTAGGTTGAGGTGAAGGTGACTGCGAAAATGCTGGACGGGAGGTAGTGATAATGTGCTGGAAGAATGCTACATCGGGATCACGGACAGGTGGGATCACAGAAGTACCCAAAAGGCAATGCTGGTTATCTCACGTACATGTTTCTCGCTCAGCAAAATAATTGTCGATGGATACGGTCGCGAACCAAGGCTGCTACATATTTTGACGAGCCGAGGTGTCCAAAGCTAAAGAGAGGGTTCCACATTTCTATGACTATACTGAAGCAGTCATCTTGGAGGTCATTCTGTGCAGTCTACAGCCCAGCCCTTCTTAAAACCTGAATCCCTCCAAGGCTAAGAAAACTATTATTATCGAGTCGTTCACATCAGGCGTTCGTCAGCAGAATTTCGATACATAACGGCCATCAATTGGCTCTCAATCACTGCTGTGCAAGGCGCGATGATGCAATCAAATAACGACGGGTGAAAAGGCATATTTACTCAGCGGAGAAATGTTGTCTAGAACATTCTTTTCCACTTTAAAGTATATCATGGTTATAAGTCAGCTTATTCATCATATATGGAGTTCATTTCAATATCTTCAATTGTAGCACATTTCCTGTAAGTATTTCTCGCCATTTAAACTATAACATATGTGTTTCCACTATCTTGGCGCAATTCAACTGGAGCTTAGTCTAGCTATCTCTTTTATCCTTTATAAAAATAACCTCAACATGGCGTTGTTTGATTCCAGTGCGCCGAAGACGTGATATTTTGTTGTAGATGGAAATCATGAGCTCGTCGCTGCAAATACCATGAACCATGACATTTGAGGAAAAACTGAGCAATTCAACCTTTTCAACGAAAGCATGCGGGTGCTTGGCGATTTCAGGCAACTTAAGCCGCATATAAATTTTGACTGAACATTGACAGTCCCAAGCTATCTCGCACGTTCCATAATGGCCGAGGAACCCCTGTACTGCCGTCAGCTGCGCAGCCAGGGCCTTGGCAAGGGCGCACAGGGTTGACATAGGGCTCTTTGATAGTGAAAGCCCCCCCCCCCAAAAAAAAAACATGGCCGGAAATGGCCGATTTCTTAATTTGGTCACGTTTTCCTTTTACATATATTTTCATTTTTACCTTCTATTACTGAAAATAAACCCACCACCTATGACCAGAGCAATGCAGTCTGAATTTTATAGTCAGTGAACTGAAAACCGCACTAATATGCAATGAGCTGCTTGAAAAGATTGCATAACACAAAATCCGGGCGCTTTTCACTTCGCAACAGTTCAGCTAACTCTGCTATTCTATAGCACTCAGCAGTTTAGTCAGAATTTTTATCTGGTCTCTACAGACATATTAAGGACACCGCGAATGTTGATTGCAGGTCGAAATGTGCCAGCAATTTGCATGAGCATGGCGAACCATGTTTTCTTGGAAATGCTCAGCAATCCGTCAGAATCAGCTTGTGACACAAATTACTTACCGTAATTTTGAACACGTGCACTCATACATCTCAGCAACGAGGACTTCGCTGCCCGGCGTTGCAGTCTCCATAGGTCGCTCAGTGTGATTGATACTTAGCCGTGGTACAACGGTTGTACAATGGTAAAACAACGGTACAAAATCATACAAGCCGTGGCCAACGGTTGAACGAAAATGATGACGCTCCTGAAAAGCTCCCCCGAACGCCTCAAAATATCAAATCTTACATTTAAAATGTAGTCTGATCGTATATTTTACCTGTGCGATTTCTAGATTGATGATAGAAAGCATCGGCACTTAGAGCACCGCA